TATGCCAATTGAATTCTTCCAATCCATGAGCATGGGAAATCTATCCTTTTTTATTCTGTTGTTGGTGCCCTTCAATTTTTTTCTTTAGTGTTTTATAATTTTCATTGTAAAGGTCTTCCACTTCCCTGGCTAAGTTCAGTTCTAGGTATTTTATCTTGTGTGTGCTACTATCAATGGAACTGCTTTTATGATTTTTTTTGTCAGTGAATTTGCTATCGGTGTATAAAAATACTAAAGACTTCTACATGTTTTTGTATTCTCAAACTTTACTGAATTTATTCATTCATTCTCATAGTCTTTTAGTAAAGACTTTAGGTTTTTCTAGCTATGGAGTTAAATCTTCTACAAATAGGACTCATTTTAATTTCCTGTTTCTTAGTTGTATACCTTTTAATTTCTTTCTCTTGTGTAATAGCTCAGGCCAAAATATCTAGAACTATATTAACAAAGAGAAGTGAGAGGATATCCTTGTCATATTCCTAATCTTAGAGTAAATGCTTTCAGTTTTTGTTCACTCATGTGATGCTGCCTATCATTTGTCATATATAACCCATATTAAGTTGAGGTATAGTTCTTCTGTATTTAATTTATTCAGATCTTTTATCATGAAGGCATGCTGAATTATATCAAATGCTTTTTCTACATGTACTGAGATGATCATAAGATTTTTATTCTTCATCCTCTTTTATGTGATATGTTTAATGGTTTGTGTATGTTCAATCATTCTTGAATCCTTTGGATGAAATCAAGTTGATTAAAGTGAGTGATCTTTTTGATGTCCTGTTGAATATGATTTGCTATTATGTATATATATATATTGGTACTAGGAATTGAACCTGGGACTTCCTGCATGGTAGGCAAATGTTCTACCTCTAAGCTACAATCTCAGCCTTTTAAAAAAAATTTAAGACAGTTTACCAAAAGTTGACAGTAGTTTGCTCCAGTCTCTAGCACAAATGCTTTTGTGTGACCTATAGGGGGTAGGAGTGGAATGTTGGTACTTCTTATTTGCCAGCCTGCATACCAACAGGGGCTGGAGTCTGTCTGTTCTAGTTCAGCGGCAGCCTACATATGGCACTGGTTCCCAGACTGGACTTGCTTGCTGGTGTGGATTTGTTTTCTCTACCCCTGGACTGTGAATGGCACTGACTCACAGGGAAAGGCTGGGGTCTGTCTGTTCCAGTCTGGTGGTGGCCTGCCCATGGTGCTAGTTCCCAGACTGGGCTTGCTTCTAGCTTTATTTTCATTTTGTAAAGAAACTAATAAAATTATATTTCTATTCCTGTGTAGTAAGTTTGCAAATCTACATGCATATGTAAGTGTATATACATATATACATATAAACCATATATATAAACACGTTTCAAGTATATACTTCTATGTTCATTTACTTTTTTCTTTCTCTTTGTTTTTTTCTTGTTATGGCTCTGAGAATTAAACCCAGAATCATCCATATGTGAGGCAAGTGCTCTACCACTAAGTTATCACTCTAGACCCTATTATCATTTTTTAACCCAATATACATTGAAATTATTGACTTTTCTAAGTTTTGGGTTTTAAATCAATCTCTTAATTTTTCTGGTATTTGTAAAAGTTTATACTAATGGCAATATTCTTTTATGTTAAATCTTATCTAAGATATTTTTAGATTCATAAGGTATTTTCTTCTCCTTTCCTTAAAAAAGATCATGAAATATAAATGAAGGTCTAATACAAAGACCAGGAGAAGACAGAGAATATGTACAGTTGCCTATGTCTCTGACCTCTTTAATGAATGAGTTTCTGGAACAACTGTTACTGTGGGCCTAAGACTTCTCAGCTGTCACAACTTTATAACTAGGGCACAGTATGTGAGATGCCTGACTTGTCTTATTACTTAGTCTTCATAAGAAACTTCATGTTTTAAAACCTAAGGCCACTTCACTTCAGGTTAAGCAAATTTAGATGGCCACCTGGAATTTCATTCACTTTAAACTTATTTTAAAAACTATGAGATAACTTTAAATTTTATATGTTTTCTACGTATGTCATCCTGTTTTCTTTCTAGATTCTAGTATTTAGTCTTGGGCTAGAAACAGCTGACAAAGTTACTATGGATTTTGTGCATAATGACTTGTTTAAAAGTTGCTACCTCCGGCTTGGAGGCTTTTAGGCAAAAAAAAAAAAAAAAAAAAAAAGTTGCTACCTCTGAATTCTTGTACTTGTTTTTTCATCAATTTGAAGAATACGTTGAATGTAGAGTAAATTTAAGTTTTTAAGTGTTCACTGTTCATACTCCTTTGACAAACTCACCATCTTAATCCATGGGAGCTCTTCCTTGAGTAAAGATAAGGTGAGCTGTCAGGTTCCTACATAAGCTTTGTGGCTATAGATTTTAGAGCTCTTCTGTGAGTGACCAGAGTTCCTCCTTGTTAAGCAAACACAAAGCTATTTGCAAATTTTAGTGACCCTTTCTTGTTTCTGGTTCACATAGCCACATACAGGTGATAAGAATTTTAAGAAAAATTGAATGAAAAACCATCAATACTAAAATATTCTTGCCTCATTTTGGGGTGGTGGTAGGTACAGAGGAGGAATTGCTGGAAGAAAGCTATAATTATGTGCCCCTCAAGTACAATCGCTGAGTATTATTTAACTTTTATTCTATAACCTAGAAGCAGCTTTAGAGATCATGATCATGATCTCTCCTACAGATGTACCCAAGTGTTAGAAATTTGATGCTAGTGAACAATAAACAGGGTAAGAGCTCATTAACTATCAAAATGATGGACTAGTAAGGCAAAATGGATTAAAATTAACTTTACATAAGTCAATCCCACACTACTTAATAATAATGAATAGCTTTACATGTGAAACCCAAAGCGAGGCACAGGAACATCAGCTGAAAACCCCATGGGAAAGCCCAGGCTGACATTCACGTGCTTACTCAAGGCTTTGAGAAAAATGGGAGTCCCCAGTGAATTTTGATAGCTATAGTTTTTCTTTTCCACATTACATGTAAATGAAAAATATAAAATAAACCCCTAAGAACAACAAAGAAAGAATACCAAATTAGGCTTTTTGGTAGGACTATACCATTTTCATACATTCTAGAGAAAGTAGTAAATAAAGTTTCTACAAGCCTAAGTGATTCTTGAAGGAAAATTAAATCACTGAGTGATGCCAGGACTGATTATTCTGCTGCACTTTAAACACATAGATTGCAGTCTGCAAGTCCAAAGTGGTTTCATATGGACTGCTACAGTTGTGGTTTACTCTTGAAACTGTAACCTGTCAAATTAGAAGCAGGCAAGGCCTCTGCTCTTAATGGTTTCACTTCTACTGTCTACAGTATGTCTACAAGACCATCATTTTTATTCAGTTAAACTCTGTTATCTGGATGAAGTATCAGAATGATTCTTTGTTAACTCAGTTACAGAAGACTTTATTTCCACAGCAGGCGTATAGAAGCTGTCAATCACATGCTTACTGTACAGATGAAGCGCATTTCCATTATAAGCATTCATTTTTATCAACTAGTGATATTTTATTCTCCTTATTACTAGGTAATACCTAACTTTATGGAGGTGGGAAACAGACTATGTAAATGCTCATGCTTTTGCTATTCTACATTTCCATCTTTACTGACTTTAACTAGCACCTTCCTGACTCATTTTTTCTAGGCAGACAGTAGTCCACTATCACAAGCTCAGTGTGACAAATCCTCTATTTTTTCCCAGTTGCTTAACTGTGGAATTCCCTTCTGGGCAATAGGGTTGGTTAGCTGAAATTAGCTGAAAAATTAAAAAGCTACTTGTTCAATTTTACTTATGCTTTAGGAGAGTCCTTCTTTAAAGACCTTTTTAATAGCAACCATTTTCATAATAGAAAAAAATTTCTAAATAAAATATAAACAATATTTGCTGTCTGTGTAACGCATAAGTGAAACCATGCCACTAAATAATCATTTCCTGTTTAAGCCATTATGACATCAGAAATACATGCTTATCATCTGCTTTGGACAACTTAGCATGTTTCTGGCCCAAGGCAAAGTTGAACTAAAACCATTTACAGTTTCCCTAAACCAAGATAACCACACATTTCTAAGGTAATTGATCCCTAAAAGAACAGCACCTTTAGATCAAAATTTATGATCTAAGCATACTGATTCTTTCAAGGTTGTTAAATTTTACAAAGCATGTAGGTCTATTGGACTTCCTCTAAAACGTAACATGAAATGATATTTGGCATGCATAAAAACTATGATAAAGTAGGCATTTGGCATATCTTTGAGAATTTTGGAATTACTTTTCTTGCTCAATTGAGGGGAAGAGGGAAACTGAGATTTCTCACATGTTAAAGTATAATGACAGTAATAATAATTATAAGAATACTGTTTTGCAATTGAGAAGGCACTCAAATGAAACAAGTCATTATTTTTCCCCCCTAAAGTATGTTTAAAGACACAATAATTTTTGGTAGAGATAGCTAAGGTAAACAGGAGACATACAATTTTCATATTCACTGCTAAAACCTATCCAATACATTCAAATACAGGTCATTGATACACTTCAGCGACACTAAAATATGTAAATACACTGTCAAACTACTTGAGCTACTGTGAGTCCAATCATGGCCTACAAATGACAATCTAAAAAACAGTTCTTCTGGATGCCACAAAGCAGTAAAAATTATCTTTGTCACCAAGATAACTGAGTAATTTGGAACAAAAAAACCTTCTAATTACAAGTTATCCTTATGGAATAAAAATAGATAAATTAAATTAAATTAAATAACAGAGTGGGGAAACCTATTCATTTTCAAAGAAGGAAATAAAAAGAAATTAAAGTTGATTCCCAACGTTGACTATAAAACTGAAGTTTCTCTGTATACTGCTGCTATTCGATATAAATTCACTGGTTTGAGAATTTCAGACATTTAAAGCTCACAACAATAGAACTAAATTTCAGAGGAACTTCTATGATTGTCTATTACTGTAAAAGGAGAATAATATACTATACCTCCATTCTTTCTTGTTTAACTTCATCAATCTCGTCATCTTCAAACATTGCTAAAAGTTCTCCTGTCTGGTCAATAGAGCTGAGAAAGTCCTGATCAATTTTTTGTCTTTTGTTCACACTGCTACCACTCAATTTGTCTTCACCATGATAAAGAGAGAAAAAAGCCAAAGTTCTCAATACATTTATATCAACATAACCACTGCATATATTACATATTACACATAAAAGTCAAAATTTTCTCAAAATAATTTTCCTTAATAGCATAATCACTGTGAGAAATTACTTTCAGAATTTGACACATTATGGTAAGCTATGTTAGTTTTAAAAAAACTACAACTGCTTTAACACCTAGAGACCTAAAGATCAATTTTCTTCTTTTAGACACATCAACCATTTTTCTTTAATTTTATTATCTAAAATTTTGTAAAGTTGTAAATATCTACAATTAGAAACTCATGTATTGACATTTGCTTGTGTCCTCATCCTCTTCCCTTTCATGTTATTAGATGTGATTCACATTCACCGCCAGATATCCTCATCCATGTATTTCTCTATGTTCATACAAACACAGAATAAGTACACTGATTTGTGGATATGCTTTATGCATTTTTTCCCCATTTAGAAATAGCTTCTTATACCTGTCCCCTTTCTCTTCATCTCACATTTTTCAGCTGATGACATAGATCCCTCCAAGTCTACTTATATAGTCCAGGCTTGGTTTCTCTATGAGGACCACATACAATTTCATAGTACATATGTATCAGTTTTCCAGCCAATCACCAAATATATCTTATTCCAAATTTTTGCCACTGGGACAGATACTGCAATAAGCATCCCTTTCTGTAATATACTTTTCCATTCTGCTAATGTTTACCATCTCTTTCTCCATTTTCATTAATATTTACTTCCCCTTTCTCTGCTTGGACACACTACTTGAAAATATTTTAATAGATTCAATCATTATTAATTTTTTTTTGAGATGGGTCTCACTATGTAGTACACGCTAGTCTTAAACTCGATTATATAGGCCTGGAACTCACAGCGATCCTCCTGTTTCTGCTTCCTGAGGAGGCAAGGATTGCAGTTATGTGCCACCATGCCAGGCTGTTTCAATTACTTAAAACATGTTTTCAAGTATACTCTCAGCAAGAGGTAATTTCCCTCCAGTATAATAATACTTTTTTTCTACTTTGCCTACTTTTTCCCCCTGTAACAAGAAACTTTAATAATATTTTCATTTTTCCTCTCATTTGTTACCCCCAATAGCCTGAAAAATGTTCACTTCATCCCTTTTCCATCTATCTATAAGTATTTGGCTTTTTTTATGAAAAAGAGTATTATTCATAGAATATTAAGAGAATGTCAGAGTATTTTAAGAAATTTACCACTTCAATTGTATGCTCTTAAAATATTATCATTAGGGATTAATACTGGATGAGCCCAAACAAGATTAAGTACTCCACATGCTTTCTCTTTGCTGTTCTTCCTTGTTTCTAACTTTGAAGTCTCTGGATAAGAAACATGGATGATTTACATGCTGTACTCTGGCACTGTACTAGCTGTCTTTAGCACTTGCAGCATATCTTCAAAGGGTATCAGGTCCTTTCCTTTCAAGAACCAGCAGCTACTATTTCAGGGTCTTCTAGCTTATAGTTACAAATGAGAAATTCACCAGCAAGCATATACAATCATTTCTTTTTAGCAGGCAGAGGAAGAGTTTTCTCCTGTTTAAAGATCAGGAATTTTACTAAGATACCCTAGATGTGCACATTTAGTCATTAAAAAAGAGTAGAACTCTTATACTGTGGGTTCAGATTTTCTTCCTATAGGGTTATTCATTTCTTATATTTACTTAATAATTGCTTCTGCATCATCTTTTTTTCTGAAATGGCTCTAGCATGTGTACTAACTTCCATTGTTTTATTTTTCACATCTCTTGCTTCTTTCCCTTGGAACTATGTTTTGGTATTTTCCCATCTATTGTGGCTGAACTATTATATTTTTCGCTTCAGGCCCTAATCTGCTCTGAAAGTGACCTTTATTTTTGCCTTTTTGGGATTGTTGGGATGAAACCTAGGCTGTAGATACATGAAGCAAGCACTCTATCATTCACTGAAATACATCCCAGCCCATCCTTTTTCTTGAACTTTTAAATACTCTGCTAAGTTACTTAGTTGGGAAGTTGTGTGCGGCAACCCTGGGAAACCTCCTCCGAGTCCCATTTAAATCCTGCTAGTTGCTCTCCTTGCTGGATTTTATGGAAGCTGCTGTCTCAACTTTTCATGATTCTCAACTCAGGCAGGTACTGTGTTCTTTTACCTCCTCTCCTCCAGGTGCTTTCACCCCTCACCCAGGAGGGTTTTTTCTCCCTACATTTGCTAGTGGGTTTTAGGTGTGGTAGTTAGAAGGCCCCAAGTCAGGGCAACCACCAGGGAATAGAGGGAAAAGCAGATAAAGTGGGGCCTGCAGGATATAGGGTCCCTACCCCCAGCCTTTGCTCCATCTCTCCTAGTCTCCTGACACCCCGACAGGAGGATTCAGTCTAGGTATTTCCTTGGCATCCACAATAATTCAGAGCTTGTTCAGAAGTCCATGCCAACCTCTGTAGACTCTTGCCCTGAAGCCAACATGCTACCTCCAACATGTGCCACCTCGTCGCCTTACCTTAGCCTCCACCTTGCTGGTCTCAACCACACTGAAGACAAAGTCTCAGCTATATCAACCCACAGAGGATACTGCATAGCCACAGCCACCCTGTGTACTCTGGCTCAAGCACAAGGCAGAACAGGGTTGGAAACAGGCAAAGAGAGCCACATGCAGTTATGCTCTGAGACTATCTGCTCCAAATAAAAATTTTAATAAATTCCAAAAGATAGAGAATTTCAAGTCACTGTGGTAATAAAAGCAATCAATAAAAACAATCCCCAAAATGAAAGTATTTTCTACTAGGGAATTTAAAACACACTTCCCTTGAAAAGCAGAAAGGGTAATCAGAACTCCAATCATGGGTAATCTAAAAATTAATGAAAAGAGTAACATTTTTCTCAGATATCCTAGCTACAGCCCAGATTTGTAATTACAAGGAATTTGTAATTCGTAATTAAAAAGGAACAATCAGTCCAGTTGGTTAGCTTAGTTACGGCATGGAACTAATAACCCCAACATTATACGTTTGATCCATGTAAGAACCATCACAGGAGACATCTTTCTGCAGAGCTTTGCCCATCCCAATAATCCCAGCATTCTGGTAGGCTGAGGCAGGAGGATCTCAATTCAAGCCCAGCCTATTCAATTCAGCAATTCAGTGAGACTCAGTCTCAGAATGAAAATAAATTAAAAAAAGGTCTGGGGATAAAGCTCAGTGTGAAGGTCCTGGTTTCATAAAAGATTAAAAATGCTTAATTAATAGTGCAACTTATACTAGTGGGGAAATGGACAGAGGAAATTAATAAAGTTAAGTTCTGAAATATTAATTTAAAATTAAGAGAATAAAAGCAAATGCTGCTTCTTGGAGAAAAAATAAGAACAAATAGACTTCATACTAATTATGAAAATTTAAAAACTCACAAATCAAAAAGACCTTGAGACCAAGATCTGAAATTAAAAAGAATATATTACATACAATATTGTGACAATACATTTAAAACCTGAAGGAACCCTACTTTCTTTCTCTTCGGTGATAAAAGTATTATATTCATTTATTGAATTTTGTATAGTGGGAGATTGAAACCAGGGCTGTGGGCAAGCTAAGTCCCAGAGTTGCCAATGATCTATAACCTTGGCCCCAGTTAAAGCAAAATATAATGCTGAGAAATTTATTTCAAAAGGTCAGGAAGGAGTATAATATTTCAACAGCCAGTTAGTAAGCTTAATGTGTAAATGTATCAGTATGATTCATGAGTGTGAAACAACTTGATTTTGTTAATGTGACTAATTACATGTTTTTGTACCAAATAAAGATGTCACAAATATTGTCAAGAACTGATTATAAAATGAATGTCCATTTTTAATATTTTCCAGTAAGTATTTAGAAAGGAAAATGTTTTTCAACTAGAAAAGTGATTTCAGGACAATTCTCTTTATAGTTATGTCTATTTTTTTCTCTACAATCTATAAAATCAGGTTTAAGTTACCCATTGTCTAAAATATGCAGTTTATTAATGAGGTACTATTAATTACATGTAATAATGTATTTTAGGGGCAGAGTATGGTAATTCATATAACAGCTAAATCTTTAGACACTTAAGAGTTTGAGAAAGTCAGATGTTAATATATTTAAAGGGTCTTTCCCAGCTGGTTGTCATAGTTTAGGCTACTATAACAGATACACCATAAACTGGGTGGTTTAAACAAGAAATACTGATTTCTCATAGTTCGGGAAATTGGGAGGCCAAGATAAAAGTGCTGGCAAATCTGGTATCTGGTGAAGACTGCATTCTCCTTTGCAGATGGCCATGTGCCTGACATGAGAGGGAAGAAACCTCTTCTGTCTCTAGTGAGAAGGGTCTTATTCCCTTTCCTAAGGCTTAGCCTCATGATCTATTCACTTTCCAAAGGTCACATTTCCAAACACCTTTTGGTGACTTGTGTGATTTTCTGTCTTTATAATCACGTGCATCAGAGTGGACTTCTTTGAATTTATCCTATTGAAGTTTGTTTGGATGACTCGATATACAGTCTAATAATTTTATCAAGTTTGAGAAATCTTCAGTCATTCTTTTTGAACTTTTTTTCAGCTCGTATTTCTTCCTTCTGATACACAATGCATACAACTGATACAGTTCATAGTGGTTCCTCATTTCTCTGAAGTTCTGTGAATTTTTCTTTACTCTTTTATCTTCAGATTGCATGAAGTTTAATGATGTCTTGAAGTTCACTGATTTTTCCTTTTGTCAGTTCAAAACTTCTGTCAAGTTCCCTTACTGAATTTATGTGTTCATTGTGCTTCGAACAAATAATCTCAATTTGTTTTTCATATATTCCACCTCCTCATTGTTACTTTATATTGTGAGACATGATCCTCATACCTTTCTTCTGTTCTTTAAACATGATTTCCTTTAGTAATTTGAGCGTACTGGTATTCACAATAGTCATTTGGAAATTTTTGTCTGCTAAGCCCAACATATGGATCTCCAAAGGGTAATTTCCATTGTTTCATTTTGTTCATATTTTTAATGATATTTACCTATGTCTTTATATGTCTAGTATTTTGTTCTTATTGTTGAAAATGGACACTTTAGATAATATATTATTGCACCTCTAGATGATAATTCTCTCCCTTTTCTAGGGCTGGTTGTCATGTCAGAATATTTACTTGTTTCTAAATGGGAAAGTACAGTGGAGTCTCTCTGCTTATAGTGTGTGGCCTCTGATGCTGCCTATTGGGTAGTAAAGTCATGGGTATGCATTCTCCATCATCCTAAGTCTTTAATCAGGTTGTTTCTGGCTGTCATTTTCCCTGTTTTCCCCCATTAGGTTTCTTGCTGGTCTGCCTCTACTGGTATCTCATACAAATGTTAGCCTCCATGAATCACTGGCTGGTTAAACTCTTTTCAATATCTTTGGGCATACCCTGCTCTCCACTGTGATCTAAACACTGTTGGATCTATCTAAAGAGTGAAAGTATTCCAGCCTTTAAGTTCTGTAATGATCCTAGAAGGGCTCTTCTTAGTTGTATCTTTCCCTGTTTCCTCTGTTTTACTTCCAGGGTATCTACTCTTTTGCCTCGGGCTAGTATTTCAGAGGTAGCAGCCTCCTCTGAATTGCTCATGTCCAGAATATTAAATAGGTGATAGTATGTAGTATAGGTAATCAGAAAAACATGAGGGGAGATGCAAGGCTATTTGAAGTGATTCATTGATGGTAAATGAAAATAAGTGGTTTATTTTCAAAGTTTCAAAGTTGGGCCAAGTTTCCAGATTTTTCCTTTATCTGATAGGTTTTTTGACGTTATCTAATTTATCGATGTATTTAATTAGGAACAGGTACCACTGAAACAGTGATTACCGTCAATAAAAACATGAGTTATTTCTGAAAATATTTCTAAATAACACAAGTTATTTCTAAAAACATTTCCAAATAAATTATTTCTAAATTAAGTTCTGTGAATTTATTTTGATTCAGTAAATATTATTTAGTACTTATCTATTTTCAGCTTAACCCTACTTGATTTTGCAACATTTTTCTAAAATTCTAAAATAAGCAATTCAGTTTAGAGATCAAAAAAGGAGAATTTTTGTGTTATGCTTTTTGTTAGATTTTTAAACAGCACAGGGCTAACAGACCAGAGTGAGGTGACTTTGTAACATAAAAAAATAAATCAGACACTTATGATAAATTAACAAGAATCTGTGTCAACTTCAAAAAAATACGATTCTGACTCCTTTCATCCATTGTAAGAAAATCACACTTGTAAAAATCAATTTTACTGAATCTACCTGGTTCTCTTAATTTCATAATTGTTTAATGTAAAGTAATACACATAACTAAAAAAAAAAAAAAAAAAAAAAAGAAATCTTGTGATCTGTGAAATGCCAGATCACAAGATTAAACTGCCAATTAAATATTTTTGCATAATTTTCAAATTACATTATTTAAAAGAAACACATATATAATTTTCTAGTCTGATGGGAATAGCTACACTTATATTACAAAAACCACATCATCCATATCCATGGCTCATCAAGTATTGTGGTTTAGTTTACCACTCTATTTTTATTACCTTCCAGAAGTTCATCCTCATCTATGCCTTTGATAATCTTTGATTTGTAGTCTCGCATGAACATATATTTCAGCAGTCTTCTAAGTTTTTTCTATAAAAAATTAAAAATAAATAAGAACATGTATATGCATATTCACTTCACAAAATAAAGACTACTATGGTAACTACATTTAAGGAACTAGTATCAGAGAAAAGCCAGCATCTCCTGAGAATCTGCCATGCCAGGACTTGGGGGACCAACCAAGAAATCAATGATCCAGGCTTCCTGGTAAGCAGCAGAAGCCTAAGGAGCTGAGGATCAACTCCTTCCCCCACTTAGCAACTGGATGGTTCTGAGGACAGCCTGAGTTCACAGCAACTGAGGTATATAAAATGACTAAATGCTTGGCTATATTGTTTGGTTGATTATGCAGGCATGGAGCCAGTAGTCTGAGCATTTCTCCAGAGTATCACAGCATGCAATACAGCAAATATGAGGGATTTCCTTCTATCTTGTCTGTTTTCATTGTTTTACTTTGTTCTAATTGTTTTGCTTTATTCAATATTCTGTTTTGATTGGTTTTATTGTGTTTTGTTTTTGGTTTGATTTTGCTATTCCTGATGGAATGGACAACTATTGTGAGGATAACAAGATATATTATGATAGCTATTATTGTTTTCTCGGTATCCTGTTCTTAAGTTCTATACCAATTTTGCTGCATTGTCTTGAATGGCTGTGTTCTATCTTGCTTTGTTGTATTTTACTGTCTTTAAAATAAAAAAATTAAGAAACTAGTATCACAGAGTCACTAGTGATAGCTATACATAGCATAATACTATGGAATAAAACTGTGGCCACGAAATTAAAAGGGCTAAAACACAAGTACTTTAATTTACAAGTATACAGAGTTGCAGAATCACAATAATTATTTTTCTATGTGCATAAAAGTTTAAATTCCTTTTTGAGACTGTGATAAATACCACATCTCCCATATTTAGTATATTGTTACTGAATTTTTATAACTTTTAAAACAAAATTTTAAGAAACTGAGTTATAAACATTTATTATTTTCTTCCTTAAAAATAATTTTGTAACCTGAGAAATCTTTTTTTAGGTAATGTGCCACCTATGAATGTTAATTAAGTCATCAGGATGATATTCTTTATATTTATGTAAAAAATACTAATTTTAAAGAATAACTGGTAATACTTTGAAGCCTTTTCTATGATTGTACTTAGTATGTAATATGATAGGTGCCTGACTTTCAGGTTTAAGATTCCTCCCTCTCCCCATTTTGAGTATTGAGATAGGACCTAAGACTTTGGGCCACAACCCAAGATTCCCAATAATATCTGAACCGTACTGAATTTTACACAACTTTTTGCATGTGCATCATTTGATGTACCCCACAGCTTTGAGACACACATAGATATATTTTTATAGATCTAGTCATCTTTTTATTCAGAGGGAGCATCTTTTTATGCAGAAGGTATTCTCACAATACTATTCTTAGGTATTGAGGTATCCTCACAATTGAAACTCAGCACAGCTAGAAGTAGTACATATGCTTGAATCTGTTTTTTCACTTGCTCAGTAAGGAAAGTACATTACCTACCATACCTGCTGTGAGGAATTTATGACACTAGGTGATGCTTGCTTTGTGCAATATGTGAAACATAGCAGCCAATAAATACTTCTTGAGAATAAACTAGAACTACTTCTATTAAAACAAAAAGCATACCTGACCTTAAGTCTTCTGCTATACTTCTTTTCTTTCTGTTAGGATTCCATCTAGTATTTTAATTTTGTTTGATATTTTACTTATCTAAGCTTGTTGAAATTCTTTTGGGAACATATTAGTGTATAAATAAAATTCTATGTTCTTGTTTGGTAAAAATCTGGTGAAGAGTCCACCTGGACAGCAGGAAAGCACTGTCAAGCATAGTATATTCCTGAGGTTTCAGTATGATTTTCATCTTTTACATCCCCAAAGGGGCAAAAAGAAGTTTCAGTAATGGGCACAATATGTGCCCATTTCTTTATTTCTGGCAAATGTTCTGCAGCGCCCTTATGTCAACCCTGCTATTCCTTGGCTGCTGGCAGTAAGCATCTTTTAGATTCCCCTCTTGCTCTGCCAACAGAACTCTGGCTTCCTCCTCACAACAACTCTTATATGTGGTACTCCAAGTATCAAGACAGTCACCAAATCCTACATGTTCTTATTCTTCATTTACTCTCCATTTCTTCCTTCTTTTTCATCCCACAGCCACAAGCCAGGTCTGATTCCTCAACCAGCAGCACCCTGGTTTGTCTCCCTGTACTGGGCCCATCCTCCATGGCTATGTGAGCCTTGCCTTACTTAGGCAGAGCCAGCCACTTGCATAACTCCAGTCTCAGCACCTTACAATTCTGTTAAGTCTCAGCTGCTACTTATTCCTTAAATAAGACCATAAGCTTCTTGAGGAAGACTGTTTCTTTCCCCTTTATATTGTTTATACCAACAAAGAAATGATTAAGACATGGAAAACAATGTAGAATATTTTTAAATACTTGCTCATGGAAAACTATGCTAAAATTATACACAAGTATCAGTTTAAACATATTAAAACTGAGCTTATCAAAAACAGATACTATAGAATATTTTTATGCTTTTCATATACTCATCTTGGTTAATTTTGCTTTTGCCTGTAAGCTAGTATCACAGAATAAACTTTGTATTTAAAAATTTAGTGCATGAAAGATTGTAATCCTGATGTCAAGGTATAAAATGAAAAGAAAAATATGCCACCCACATACATTTCATTTGTAACAACAGAGCATACAGTCAGTATTTACTGAATAATACATAGCAATGAAAATGTCTAAAAAGACACATTAGGATAACTGAAGATTGCTTGTTAGTAAAGTTTTACTAAGTGTCTTTGTTCCTGCAAAAATAGCAATTCTGTTGTAGTAAATCTATTTTGTTGTATAAACCATAAAGACTAAAACTTCACTAGTTATGATTTCAAATTTGAAAACTAACACAAGGACACACAAGTGTCCTTACTAAGTTCAATTAAGCACCAGACCTAGTATTTTAATATAATGAAACTGTCTTACATTACCTTATCTTTGCGCATCAAAAAAAGAAGATCTTCTGCAGAGATTACCCTTGCTCCCCTCAGCTGAGAAATTTCAGCAGCTTGCTGTAACTAACAAGAAAGGAAATTAGGAATTTTTCTTAAACATCATACAATCATTATGTCTCCAGAGAAATAAATGTACAAATTTAAAACTTTTGGGAATAATCCAGCAAAATGAACTATGTTTTAAGATATATGTATATGTATTAAATTATTAGCCCACCTGTAATCAATACAAAGAATTCCTTGATTTCTTTCATGCAAAAGAAAAATCATACACAGCTTTTACAAATCCATTAATGCATCTGAAAATAATTTTATGAAATTTTATGCTTTATACCCATGTAAGCAATAGTTTCACTCAGTATTACTACTTAAGTAAGTATATTATTAATCTGAGCTCCCAGGCTCATACAATTTGAAATAGGCCCATTCAAAACTTAAAAAGATCAACAAAAACAGTAGCTGTTTCTAATATCCAAAGGAAAAAAATGCTTTTCATGTTGGCAAGTCTTCAGTGAGTATACAATTCAGTCCATAAATCATAATACTGGATGGCATTAATTTCTTTCCACACTACTCACATGCACACAAAAGTTAACTATCTGGAATGCACAACACAAAATATGTTGTATGAAAAGTTAAGATTTTCTCTGAAATGTTCACTTAGGTTCTTATATCCTCAAAGTCATAGTTTTCAGGAATTCAGAAGCCCTAGAAACACAATCTTACTTGAAAATGATCTGGAAAATAAAAGAATGTGAAAAATGATAGTTCTAGTTTTTGGCAAAGGCAAACTCAGTTTCTTATTTTGATTAGTTGGAAGGAACATAAAATACTCCATCTGAAAAAAATAAAGACATTGGAGAAAACACTAAAAAATGTGGCTGTAACTTCTTCCAAATTTTATCAAACCATGCTGATTGTACCAAACCAACTCTATCCAATCTGAAATATTATGAAAATATTTATATATAAAAGCTGTTCTCTCAATGCATCCTTCTTTGAAAGGAATAAATCCAATACACATTCTTAAGAACTAAGCTTTAAAAAGCGACACACTGTTATCTTAACAATTATATGAAATTAAATACAGCATTTGTGCTGAAGAAGTTAAATGCTGAAACAACTTTGCTAAGTAAGCTTCAAACCTTCTCTAAATACACAGACTACAAAATAGACTATAAACTCCTGATGTGTCAGCTTTACCACTGAATTTCCTGGATACTAGTGGTTGTATCTAAACATAATCCTATCTAAATATAGAAATTTTAATTGTGAACCATTTAAAAATAAATTTTTTTTTGCACTTGGGTGCATGTGTGTGTTTAAAATGATCATGGATACAGTTTGTTTTTTTTTAAACTGGAACAGTGTCAGGGAAATATATGTACCTATGTCTTTTCAAATAAAAATATATCAGAATCTAAAATTGTGAAGATTTTACAGAATCTAATAAATGTGAAGATTATAGGGTACATATCCTAGATCCAGGAGACAGTACTGGCAAATAACTTTATTTTTTGTTTTCTTAAAAAGAATACATGATAATTTGAAAACTGAAAACACATTATATAAACAGTAATTTCACACACGCCAAGAAAGGATAAGAATTAACATATATTGCTAGTTTTTCCAGGTAATCAGTGGTTTATCCACACCTATATAGATAATCCAAAATGTCAGTTTACAGACCTAAGTACAAGAAAAACAATCAAAACAATCAAAATGAAGACATGGAAAATGCAATATTTTTTATTACTTTTTCAAAACTGTGTTGTATGTGGAGGGATTAGTTCATCTTTGCTATTCATTTACCTGATTTTCTTATTTCTTTCAAGCAATAGATTAGGCTCTCTGGTCTCAGTGCTGCTTACAATTCCCCACATGGCTTGGTCTCTGAATCATATGCAGGCCTTTGCAGTGAAAAGTATCACTATTTTACTTCACCCAGCCCACCTAGCCCTAAAGAAACTCATTTTGCTAAGGCAAGAGAGCTATTTTATTAGCTAACTAAAGTAATCCATACTAAAATACATACTTGTTATCAGCTTACTTCTAAAAATTTCTGCTTAAGCTTATCAGCAAGAGTGGAACAGCACTAAAAAAGTTTAGCAGCTTGGCAGTCCAGATTCACAAGGTGCTGAGACTGAAATGCTTTTAATATGAAAACAATACTAGACACAGGAAATCAGTATTTCTTATGTTCCTAAGACCCTCAGAGTCAAGAAAACAAGGTTCTACTTGGAAAATTAATACAAGAGAGTGACAAATTCCAAACCAGTCTGGGCAGCTGAATAAAACTTTGTATCAAAATAAAAATTTCTAGAAGGCTCTGGATGCAGCTCAGTAGTTGAGGGCACACCTGCCTGTATTTGAGGTCCTGGGTTTGAGACAAACTGATTCTATATTATAAACAATGTTTTACTTTCATAATTATTAAAAATAAATGGAAGTTATAAGTTGTTACTCCTCTCAGTCAGTCAAATGTTTATGGCAGTAATTAAACTAATATGAAATAGCAGCTCAATGCAATTTTTACTATAAGTAGAATATATTTAATTATATTTTAAAATGTGTAAAAAGTTGCAGAGCAGTATTTTAAACATAGCCACTTATATAATAAGCATATAAGCAAGTTTTCTTAACTATATGGATAAGCATACAGGACTAAAAACCACGCAGAGATTTATTTGCAATTAAAAAGAAGAGTGTGCTTTCATTATTTGATCATTTTTTTCATGCCTATACCTTGTAATCTGAATAATTACTTTGACGATAACAATACACAATATATTAACCATTGTTAATCTATTATGTTTTGAAATTCTGTATCATTTCTTTTTCATTTAAAAAATTTTGTTGAAATACATACTATAATAATTGCATCATACATTTCAACTCTTCTAATAAATATAATTTCTATTCTTCAAAGTAAACAACTAATGTATACTTGCAACAACTATTTAAAAGTAAAAAAAATCACATACCATTAAAACTCAATCATGCTTGCATTTTAACCATTTTGTCATTAGGCTGAATATTGTAAGGTACACCGTACATATCATCTCAAAGTTCACGTCTTTGATCCCACAAACAAATTTCTTCTATCTCACTGTTACCTATGACATGAATTTTCAAATTTTATCCCCCTTCACACTTTATAACACTTTCCCCAGCTTTTACTGACTTTCTAGTTCTCACCTTCCCAAGGTCATAAAATATGTACTCTACTTCCACATTATTTAGTCCAATCCAGAACTCAGAATATTTACTCACTAGTTTCTAAATGGCAGTGTTTCCAAATTTTTGTGCATCCTACACTTACCCTGTAAAATGATCTTCCTCAAATATAATGCTCAAATTCCAAGATCTACAATAATTCACCATTATGTAACACAAACATGGTCTTTACCACTTGGTAGTCTCAAGTTTTCCCTATATCCTCACTCTCATCACATTTCTGGTTTTTCTTCCTTATATAATATTTCCACATGTAAGTGTCAGTAATTTCTGTTCTCCAAGTCTTTGTGTACTTCCAATGATTAATCTTATGCGTAATCTTGAGTAGACCACAGAACATCCCGACATTTAGCTAAACATTATTCGGGTGTGATTGTAAATGAAACATGTGAATCAGTACACCAAGTAAAGCAGTCCATTTTAGTCCATTTTCTGCTGAAGTGATTTATAAACAACAGGAGCTCCTTCAGCTCACAGTTCTGGAGGCTACAGAGTCCATAAGCATGGTGCTCTCATCTAGTGAGAGCCTTCTTGTTACAAGATAAAATAGAGGGCATATGAGCAGGCATGAGACAGAAGGGGGAAGGATGATGGTCAAGCACATCTTTTATCAAGTGTGTTTTTACACTGGCAGAGTAATGGCTTCAATTCACTGCTTAGCACTACTGTGACTTAACCTCTTAATACTGTTATAATGGAGTTAAATATTCACCTGAGTTTTGCATGGAATGTTCAAACCACAGCACTCTCCCTAATAAGAACAGATCTTCCCCCATCACTGAAAAGCCTCAAGAAGTCTCACAGAGACAAGAAGAGGTTAAGGAAGAAGGAAGAATTTCTTTCTGACTGCTGTTACTGGACATTGATCTTTTCTGATCAGGGCTCAGACTGAACCATCACCTGTCATGTGGAGTTTTCCAGCTTTCAGGAACAGAGCTGTTCATCTCCGTGTAGTTTCGATCTCCCATCGCTGCAGCTTGCCAACTGAAAATCTTGAGGTTCAGCCTCATAAATGCATGGGTGAAATCTTTATAATAAATCCATTTTTCTATCTTTTTCTCTCTCTGACAAAAGGCTTGTAGTAAAAATCTTTTTCCTTTCTTTAGGTTGTCTCTTCATTCTGTTGGTTGTTTCCTTTGCTGTAGAGGAACCTTTTAATTTGATATGATCCAATTTGTTGATTTTTGGTATTATTCCTTATGCAATTAAGGTTTTGTAGAGTTTTATCAATTTTACCTTTCAACAGATTGTTTCTGCTTAAACATTTAGATCTTTAATCCATTTCCACTTTAGTTTAGCACATAATGAGCGACATAGGTCTAGATTCAGTCTTCTGTATGTGGATTGTCAGTTTTCCCAGCACCATTTGTTAAAGAGATTATCATTCCTTCAGGGTCTATTTTTGGCACCCTTGTTAAGATCTGATAACTGAATCTGCCAGGAGTTGGTTCGGCTTCTTCTCTTATGTTCCACTGACCCACCTGTCTGTTTTTTGACCATACTATCCTATTTTTAATCACTGTAGCTTTGCCATAAAACATCAAGTTTGACATTGTGATGCCTCCTGCTTTGCTCTTCTTGAATCGGACTACTTTTGCTATTCTGGGACTACATGAACTTTAGGATTATTTTCTTTAGTTCTGTGAGGAATGCTTCTGTTACTCTGATTAAGAATGCATTAAATCTGTATATCATTTTTGGAAGTATGGCCATCTTAACAATATTCGTTCTGACTGTTCAGAAATGGGATATTGATCTATTTTCTGATTGTCTTCTTTGATCTCCTTTTTAAAAGTAATGTAGCTTTCATTGTAGTGGTCTTTCAC